TTGTATTTCTTTTTAATTATTTCATGGTGTTAGATTTTCGGGTTTGGAAGAGCTGCTATGAAAATGAAGACGTGCATCGCATTTAATTGTAAGTGGAAGTTTGTACGCTATAATCGGCGCGCCGAGTCGCATTTATATCAATTAGCAGCGCGGCCATTGAGGCAGGTTTCAGCGAACTTACGAGCGAATGAGAGAGGAGTTAGTAATTATCGACGCGCTTGCCGTCGAAATCAAGCATTTATTTGCTGGACGTTCAATTTAGCTCGAGGACTGTTGAAGGTAAATCAGTCGACTGTAATTCACACCGTGACTTTCAATCGGAGATACGCGTGATCGGAGAGACCGCTTAATGAAGTAAAGACATTGAAAAGGTCAAGGTTCAAAGAGGTACGACGGCAAAGGTGGTGTTTCTAAACTACACTAATCGCAGTATTAAATAGTGAAGCAATTAAAATGACGATAATTTAATAAATGATACTCAGTGCTTTGATGGCCTATAAATCGGCAAGTATTTCTTGAGAAAAATTTGCAATGCTATAATATTTCATATGTAGCATGTGATATGTAGGTATACATATATGCCATATATTAGGTGTTGGAATTAATTCGTAGCGTTTTACAAGTGATGGGAAGTACTTTCATTAATGTATTTTTTAATGCTCATGTGAAATAAATAACATTCTTTCATTAAAAAACGCTACGAATTAATTCCAACACCTAATATTATAACATGTATATCTATACATCACAATGTCGTTAGAAATATCCGTGATACATTTTTTACCTTGACTTTAAATAAAATAAACCACGCAGGAAACGGCTTCTGCATTTTCTTCTTACATTTTTGTATTTGCGTTCCACCCGTTAAGGCACATTTTCGAGATCATCATTACAACGAGTATACTAACGGTGTATTATTAACGTGAAATCGATATACTTTCATTAATGGTAAATTTTCTACAATCATTCTCGCGTATTTGCCATGCGAATATAAATCGCCCACTTGCTACACACAAGGCCAAGACAAACATAATTACGAGAATAGACACATAATAGAAAACTAGTAAAATAAATTTTCGTCCTTTTTCGCTGACAATGAGAGCGATCATTGTTTCGGGCAGTAAAACTGCACTGAATTTATTGAGGTCGTCTACATTGGTGAAGGAATATACATTTGCACGTGTTATGATACACGCGCTTTACTTAATCACGATTAAAGATGTAATGTGTTCGATCAGTATAAAGTGGGAAATGTTTGATGAAGTGTGCCGCTCATTCAGTTTATGAAACAAAATGCTTAATAAAAGTGATATGAAAAAATGTCATGATAAATATAAAACGATAGATATACCTAAATCTTTGTATACTTCAAGTATAATAATAATGCAATAACAATAAAAAAAAAATGCGACTGAAATAAACGTACCGATTTTTCGTCGAGCTAAACCTTTCTTAACCTTCGTTAAAGATTACTTGTATAATAATTATATTTTTTGTTTCCCTTTTCTTTGTTAGTATAGTCCTTGCGTGCATCTAAAGTAATCATCAATTAGCCATACTACGCTGTATCATACGCGCGAATCGTTTTATAATTTATTTATAAGTTTAACCTTTCGACACACGGTATACATAATGTGAAGTGATGTGTGATGGGAGAGATAAAATATAAAATATATAACAGGTATTATAGGGAAAAGATATTACACACAAATGTGTGTAAAATTTGCACCGAGCTTTAGCAGCGTATTCTTCAGCAAATTTGAAATCTATACTTTCACTATACGAGAATTTAAACTTCAGCATAGTTACACGAGGTTATTTAACATTGAAAATTAAAGGATTCTGCCGAGCTCAAGTTTGACAAACAGACAACGAAAGTTTGTTCTTTAGTTAATTCTAGGTTCACCCTGTTTTAACCAGATCTTAACTTTGTTATCAGGATATCTAGCAAAATTATGAAATTTCTCGAAGAAAAAGTTATTGAAAAAAATGGAATCTAATCAAACTTTGCACCGAAAGGAAAATCATTAAAAAATATACAAGACATTAATGTTTCATGTGGAAACCATAATCAAAGTCAAAACTATGTACTTCTTTCGATTTTGTTTACTCCCTTGACTAATAAAAAATTCTTTATATAACATTATTTATAATGAGAAATATAACTATTATATAAATACACACTATTATGCACTATTTAAAGTTTACAATAAGAGTAGCAGAGTACATTTTTATACAATTTATCATCGAATACTATAACCAACGTCTTGAGACGCTAGTCATGTAATCCGCGGAAAATCGAATTACACGGAAGCCTCTGCGAGCTGCAAGAGCATGCCAAACTTAATTCGTGTTTCTACTCTAATCTATGATAAAATAAAAAGACAATATGAAACTTTGAAATAAGTTATTCTAAAGAATTTCTAGAAAATGTGTGGTAGTTATTACTCTAAAATTTGCAGAAAATTTCGAAATTATCAAACTTCTAGATAATTGTATAAATTAAAATAGTCGTAAAACGTAAAATGAGTTATTCATAAATGTAAAATGAGTTAGTCGTAAACGTAAAATGAGTTAGTCGTTTTAGACAAATTGTTCAAACAAGTTAAAATTATAACATATTTTCGTTATAATTCTCGTAGCCTTACATGTGCTCAATCAATAACAAGGATTTGAATAAACCAGATGATATAATCTTTATGCTGCTATAATGGAATCAACGTAATTCAATAAAGCGTATCAAATGACATCGACTGGAACAATCGACTCATCAAAAATTTCACACACATAAAACACACACACACACACACACACGTCGATAAATACACACCCATACACATACATATTATTAAAATGATTATACAAAGGGGGTAATTCATGAGTCAAAAGTATAATGACAAGAGATACGAGATTAATTGCATTCCCAACATTATGCATCAAATATACAAGAACGAGCGCGAACAGAACGCGATTTACATTTTATCTAGATTACACCATACATGCAACATTGTGTGCAATGAAGGTTTATTCACGAATGGAACAACTCTGAAACGGCGTTTAACTTTTTACACTATTTTGAAACGCTATTTAAGTATCACGCTTAGTATAACTTAGTGAGAGATTAGAAATCTGGTTTCATAATGAACTAAGCCTACATACATTTTCGACAAACAAAATGAAATCGTGACTTATATATTATATCGTAAATAAATTAAATGTATTTAATTCTTTTCAATTATTACTAATACAGTTAATCTCTCAAGATTTGAAATTAGACTCAATTTATTTTATACTGATTATTATTTTTAACAAATATTCAGCAATATGCGATTTCGTGTATGTGCGCGCATGCGTGCGTGCATTAAGGGTATTGTAATTTAATTAAGATTACATTATCAAATTAAATATAAAAAGTGTTCAAATTCTGTACAAAATTCGCAAAAAAATATTTATAAAATTGATATAACACTCACAAATTAAATGTGATATGTTATTGATAATTTAATTATATGTTGCTGATAATTTTCTTTACATTAATCATGCCTTTATATGGAAAACAAACGGATATTGCATACACGAAAAGTGACAAAAGATTATCAGAAATTTTTACGATTTTTTTTTCAAACAAATTAATCGGGAAATTAGAGTCTACTAAGAGATGGTTAACGAGCTTCTATGTCTTAACAGCTGAGAGTATGCGTGCAGATCCCATAATCCCAAATGTAATCTGACCGCCCTCTTCATATTTATTCCACCACTCAGAACATGAATATTTTCTGTTCTCTCGGCAAGTATCGATCGATGATACTTCTTTCATATAAAAGTATATAACACGTCCACAAAAGCCCGAAAGAAGGCAGTATGCAAATTTCGCATTATATATTAGAATAAGGATAAAACAAATGTTTGTTTAAGAAAACTTGTCACAATAATAGCTTTATGCGCACCAACATTTTTCGTTTTTTATAAAGAATAAGTTTTATTTAAATTTTAATATATAAGTATTTAATTAAAATTGCAATTTTATTAAATAACACCTTTACATATATTATATTGTATATACTTCTTTCTCCTTCGAATTATAAAATTTACTTTCGCCAAAAATTGGTATTTGCAATACTTTTTGTAATATTTATACATGTATACACTTTTAAAAAATATTTATTTTTCTTTGAGATAATAAAACAGACATAACGTAATACTGCAATTTCTCAGAAGGAAAATTTTTCCTAAATGTTATCAATTTTAAGAGAAATACCCAGTGATATAAGTGAAACATAAAGAATGAAGAACATCAGAGATATTGAAATGTAAAAAAAAAACAAAGTCATCCTTCATTCATTCGTTTCATTTATGCATTTTTCTCTTTTGCTTTATTGAATTCCAACATTGCGTGTCGTCTATATTCGATTTTTGTGATATTTATCGGCACGATATAATACAATTGTTATAAAAAAAACTGTATTAAAAAATTGCAATGATATATATCGCCTGAAAAACACAGCAAACAATTACGTCAAACAATTTATAAAATGTCACAAAGTTTTAATAATACAATTTAAATATACTTAAATAAAGTTTAAAGTAAAATAGTATTGATAAAAGTATTGATTGTTTCAATCAATTCATAATATTATATTAAATGCTTTTTCGCGATGAAAATACTTAATTTTTACGCAACCATTGTAATTTATTGTTGGAAAAAAGTAATACAGAGGATGTATGTCTGACTAAAATGGGCGATATCTACTCGCGATGCAGGCCACGTACTTATACCACGATCGTGTCACGTGCAGATTATTCATCATTTCACTTTGGAACGCCTACTCAGATTAAGTTCCAAGACTCATCGTCAATATCGATCAGTAATTCAATTAATTATCTTCTAATAACATATATTCGAGAATGGTATAAAATTAACATGCGACGGTGAGACAGTTATAGCTTTTTGTCACCTTTAATGTGTCACGATAAAATTGACAAAAATAATATTGACTTACCAATATTTGGATGTTGTAGTTTTCTACATATCCGCGCCTCACGCTCGAGTTTTTGGAAATCTGTAATAAAAGAATATTTATTTAAATATGTGTAATAAATTCAAGAGAGCTATAAAATTATAAAAACATTCGAATATAATTTCGTGTATATACGTAACATAATATTAATTGCGCAGATTTGCCTTAAACGTTCGATCGCCGGACGTCATAATAGAATCGAATTTCGTAATAAGATTTCTCAACGAGTTCTCCCAGAGCTAATTCACTAAGAGGCACAAGAAAATTACATTTATCGACGATAGATTCATTTTGAGGATCATTTCCCGTTACCTTCTTACGTACACTGCGGAATCGATTCTCTGTGTAATATTTGATGGCCATTTGATTAAAATAGCTCAAAATGACATGTCTTGATATAATGAACAATATCGAAACAACAACAAAAATATGTAATGATAGAATATCGAGTTTTTCCCGATTATCTCGTACTTTTCAATTTACAAAATTTAAAATATATAATGTGTAAAATATTATATGGGATTACTGTAATTAAGAAGACAAATATACATCGCTTCTAAATTCATGCACAATAAAAAAATTTACTTCTTATATTCATATATACACACATATATATATATAAAACAGTATCCTCTATTTTTTAATAAAGGATACAAATTCCCTAGATCATATAAATATTGATCGTTCATTACAATCATTAATCGGTTCTTCAGTGATGGCTTATACACTCTAATGGCTTAACAAACATGAAAAATGAGAGTTTGAAGTGTCAAAAATAACAAGAGCATAAATTGTACAAGTAGCACGAGAAACATCACGCAAATTAACGAACAAACAAACACTTTCCGTTTTTCGCATTCGCAGAAAAAGTAGGTTACTTGACAGATTCAAATTTTCTCGCAATATGCAAAAGGGTTTCACTCGCTTACGAGCTACATGGAAGGTAATCATCGATGAAAAAAAACTGCAGAAAACACGTGCACGCTTAGAAATATCGTCTAAATGAATATTTAATTTTTCTTTCTTGCTGATCTATAGCAAGCAGATTAACACCAACATTATTTCACGATCCTATGACAACAGTTTTTTAATAAATCGATCATAAATTTGTAAGGAGTATGCATATTTCCTGTTGCTATTTTATATATAATTTTTTCCGTAAGATTTATATAGCTAATCAACTTTTTCAGTGACTGACAGCAAACGCATTAATCGTATTGTATGTCAGACAGAATATACAATAAACCTTTTATACTTATGATTTCAACGTGTTTAGACGTACATTAATGATGTATATAACAAATCAATATATAGCCATTAATATAACTTTACTTTTATTTTTTATACTTTAGCATTAATATAATATTCATCTTAATCTCTACAAAAAAATATAATTAAATCATCAATACTTTAATAAATTAACATGTAAAAATCATTAGAAATATTTAAAAAATAAATTAGCAAGACCGAGAGAGAGAGAGAGAGAGAGAGAGAGAGAGAGAGAGAGAGAGAGAGAGAGAAATAACAGAGTTGTGTTCGATTCCATGTTCATGTGCGACTAAGAAAATATTATACCTAAATATAAATTGCCTCAAGCTCGAGATAATGATAAATATTATACCCATTCTTCGAATGTGTTATACAGACAATTATTGTGCTCAGAAAACATAGTACAATTGCATTCACAATAAAATACGTAAATCGGTCAACAAATTTCAGCGACATATTTCACGGCTGAGTAGAATAAAGTTGCATTAGGTATTGTAGGTACAAGTTGCAATTACACGTAGATAAGTCGCGCGATGAAATATTCGCGGATTATCTCATTTACTAGCACATTATCGCCACTGAAATTTCAATTTTTTTTGTCCTCTTTATAGACTTTTTGCCAAATAAAAATGTTGTAATTTTCGATCGTATTTAGCACAGATATCGAGCTAAACAAAACGCTTTTTATAATCTCTCCTTCCACTTATTTATCTTTCTTCCTTGATTTCCTCAAAAATCATAATATCTTCAGATACATGTCGGACCACTGCATCTTACATAAAGAAAATCCAATTGCATAAGAAAAAAAGTTGACGTAACATAACCTTTTGCATAATCCGCAAACTATCTCGCATTTTATATATACGTATTTACGTGAGCACGCTTATTAATTATATCGATAACATTAATTTCTATTTACAACCAAATATAAAGAATCATCCTGATTAAGCAGAAGTATGTAATCATTGAGAAGCATATAAATCTATTTCATTTCACAGATTATTTATCACTTGATGGCAATCCATTAATCGATAACAGCCCTTGCGATCACCTTCACCTCCAACCAATAATTAACACGATCTATATAAAAACATATACCTATAAAAACCGATAAAATGACAATGAGAGAGAAAGAGAAAGAAAGAGAGAGAGAGAGAGAGAGAAAGGTTGTGCACAATACATAAATATATAATATATACGGGCGTGTACATGTACGCATGCTGTTTGAGCGAATCATTTCCAGCAGGTTACATAAACGGGCTTAGAAAAATATATTTTTTTTATTTTTATCTCGTTATAGACAACTTTGTGCAGTCTATCCTTAAGTATATGTGTGTATGTATTTTTTATAAGAAATTATGCATACTGACATATAGCGACCAAGCGATCTATATGCTGTAAATCAATCAGCGTATAAAAAGTTACATGTGTGAATTTTTCTTATATATATTTTAATAAAATTAATTTCAAAGAATACAAATAATTAATCATCAAATAAAATTGTATCATTACTAATATAAAAGTAATTGCGGATTATTCTTATTATTAATATTGATATTTACTTTACGGAAACTTAAGAAAGTTAATATCTCATTGATTTCGAGATACGAAACGAATGCTCGTGCAGAAAAATCACATTTCCACGCAATCAGTTTTGCTTTTCCGGCAATCATGCGTTTCACAAAGGTGCTGTCGGAAAGACGAATATCGATACGCGTCCTTAAAACGTCTCCTAACGAAAGGGTGTCCATCGTCGAAAGGTTGATCGTTTTTGTCGCAAGGCCGATTCTTAGGAAGCATCCACCCGATGTAACGCTTCTCCCATCCAATAGAGCACGAATGTCACGAAAGCGTCAATAATAAAAACCACCGTTATATAGTCGCGCTGGCTTACGCAAGTCGATGCAGAGAAAGTACGAGGCACCCTTGATCTATCGTGCGTGATAAGGCTATAGGGATAATGATGCATTTTTTCCTCATGATTTCCGGACAGCAATGAATATAATATCCCATTGGAAACTTCGTAAGAAAAATAGCTGTCTATTAACAAACAAAAAATTAAAGTTTTTTCATTTTTTTTTTGTTACCTATAGCTATGTTAAAATATGTCAACAATTTTATACACTGACTTTTCTAAAAGGGAAAGAATAGAAATATGTGGCATTGTTGTGTAACTGTGTCAGTTTTGGGACCTGTATTGTAAGACAATTATCTTACGAAAAAGATAATCATTGCAAAATTGTAGTATTATAAAAATTATCTGTTTGAAGACACTTTCTAGTTTATATTTATATTTAACAAATTTTATTTTTAGCTCTTGTTTAAGAAATATTATCAAAAAAAAAAAACAAAATGATATGACATTCCTCTATAAATATAAAATACAGAATAATTAAAACAAGAGTAAACGGAATCGAAAATTTCTAGTAAAAGACAAATAAAGATAAAGATTAGAAAAAAGGAAGAAAATGTAACTATTAGCGCGCATATGTCAGAAAACATGGCTCAGTCTACTCATGATTCTCTTTGTGGACCAAAGCCGCAAATTAGAAATTCAAATAATCGCGACACCGACGAAATCCCAACCATATCGCTCGATTAATTATTCGTCGCGCCAAAAGCAGCGGAAATTCCGCCGCTCAAATGAGTCTGAAATAAATTTATCTCATATAATAATTTTCAGATGGTAAAAAAAGATTTCGTTCAATTAATCTTTCTTCTAATTCATCTTTCTGCTTTTAGATAAAAATGTTCGAGCAATTTGTAATGCATTTTATTCGAATATAAATACGAATTATTAGCCTAACTTATTGTTAGATTGTCTAGAATTATTCAATTTATATGAAACATTACATTCTCTCTGCTTTTTTATTAATTGTTCACATAAATAATCTATGACATGGTTTCTATTTTCTATTAAAACATATTTTAATGTTTATACGTTATAAAATAAATGGTCAACCTGAGACTGCCATTCTAGGATTAACTGTAAAACAAAAGAAATTATATCTAACATAAACAAAAATAAAAACAAAATTAAACATATCTCTAATTAAACAAAAAACTAAATTAACACAATAATAAGTATATAATAATATAAATTATAAATTAATATTATAAAATAAACAGTTCGTTATTCGCGCAGTTTATTACAAATTATTATTGTAGTGCATTTTTTATCAACCGTCATTTCTCTATGTTTGATCGCGAGTGCATGAATTCACACACACACACACACACACATGCCAATTAATTTAATTATACTGATTGTTTTCGTTCGCTGCGAGGACAAAGGGCTTCATAAACGAACGAATGAATAAACAAACTTATACGTATCCGCAGAATTATATGTAAATAATTTCGCAGGGGCGAATAAAGGACGATCGCACGTGCGTTTCAACATGCATCACAAAAGAAATGGAAAGAATTCTATCCCTCAGATTATGTCAGAGAGTACAAGTGCACCGTGTTATACTCGGTCGCAGTGTCTCGGAATCGGAAATAACGGGAAATGACAGTCAAGCGCGAGTCGATTCGTAAGGAAATCGAGGAATTCCTATTCCTCCTACTCCGTCGCAACGATTGGTTCCTGTAGCTCGCTATTTGCTTCCCTCTCCTTTCTAGGATACGAGTTTTATTCGTTGCGCAGAGCGCGTACGCCATATTGCGGAGACCGCGGCCTCCGTTAGGTCAAGAGGTTACTGGAGCAAGGTCGTAGTCTGAGCTGATTCGCACGAGCGAACGATTCTTGTCCGAGAGGAAAGAACAAGGACAGGGACAGGGAGAGAAGGTAGAGGAAAAGAGATGTAGAAAGAGAAGCAGAGGATAAGGGGAGGGGGAAAGGGGGAAAGGAAGAGAGATGATAAAACAGAGAAAGATGCAGGTGAGAAGAGCAGAAGGACAAAAGGAATAGAGGGAGGATTTACCCTGACACCTCTTTTACCCTGACACCTTTTTACCTTTTTACCACGCCTCGGCTCGGCTCGGCTCGGCGATGCCAAAGATAGATTTATCTCGCCGCATCGTGCCCGCAGAAAATGGCTATAAATTGAACGAAGGGGAAAGGAAGCGAGGGACGGAAACGAGTACGCCAGCTCCGCGGGAGGAAATTATGCAATTCCGAGTGCTCGCGAGTCGTTCAGCGCGGTGAAGATGAGACGCGACTTTCCTTTGCGATATTCTCTCTCTCTTTCTTAATGCATAGGAATTGAATCTTGATCAAACGAGGCAGCGATCTGGTCCAGAAGAGTCTGCCGAGAGCGATATATCATTACTATTACATTCATTGAAAACATTACGTTCTCATGTGAAATCATCAGTATAGTATATCATGAAAAAATATTATAAAATGAACGGATTTTTTTTTTAATAAAATCTATAATTTAGAAAAAAATTATTATAAAGAAATTTTATCAAAACGAAAATTAAAATAAACTTTAAATCTTAAAACTCTTTAAACTCTTTTATTTTTCCATGATAAGGTAATGTGAATTATTCAGTCTTAAGAAAAAATTGAATAACTTTTTACAAAATTATTGTAAGAGGTTTTAAAAAAGGAAGTGAAGATAAAAACATGTTCTGTATGGATTATTTTATTAGGACTACTTGTTTAATTTTTGTCTAAACTAATGTTTATTATCGGTAATCGGTTTTCCATTTTAAAAGAGCATACCTTGCATATTATTGTTGGAAAAATAAAAGTTTTTTATATTTAAAATTTACACTTTAATTTTTCTTTTCTTTCCTTTAATAAAGTTTCCTATAATAATTCGTTTCTGAAATAAGCAGAAAAGGCCGTTTTTTAATTTTCAAAACGATGTGTAACTTTATGAAAAAAAAAAATAATAGAAAAATATTTAAAATATGAATTTGTTAGGAAATAAATGAGCTTAAAAAACTCATAATTTTTTTGGATCGGACAACTGATTTTCCTGAATATATAATAGTTTGAAAAATTTTTTTTTCATTTTTCAAAATCTATATCTTTAAACGACGTCCGTCAATTTGTAAAATATTTTTTGTAACTCAATTCTTATTTTCTTGGTCGTCAAGAGATATTCAAATTTTAATTTGAGATATTATTCATCTCAATACTATGATTCTTTGAGTTATCACTATCGAGAAATGTTAAAAAAATTGTGTTAAAATTTGGTAGCCCATTTTTTGCGGATACTTATAGTATTATTAACTTATTAATATAATTATTTCGTTGATGTCATTGTTATTCAACTGTTTGACTACTTGTGAATATTACATTATGCTTTCGACGGAATTTCTTTCACGATGGTTAACCGCAATGCATTTACGTGCATGTGAAACGAGGATAGCGACCACATTTGTCGGATTAGAATACTGTGTTAGATATTGTTCGCATCGTTGCACTCTACTCAAATGATTCAATCGAGTAATCAAAACAATACTTCGTTAATCGTACGAACAGAATTGTTACGCGTAATTATTTTGGACGGTCATGTTCTCATTCTACGAATCATGCATGCTTGCAAATTTATACGTTAAATTTAGTTTTGCAAGAAACTAGTAGAGACAATAATTTTACAGAGAAAGAAATATCGTACAATTAATAAAGATCGATCTTATAAAAATTATCTTATAAAAAAAAGATAAAAAAAAGAAGGAGCATATGTCAATATATATACTCGCATTCAGTCGCTAATTCGTTGTCTTTATATGCCATTTAATTTGTAAATAGAGGATTTTAATTCGCCTAACTCAATTATATTGTATCATGAATCATCACCTTTTGCTATTGCAATAAAATAAATGAAATAAAATGTAATAAAATTAATGTCTTTTCCATCTCGCGTCATTCGAAAGCACTGCTTTCTTACGTGTAGCGTGAAAGCGATTGAATTTCAAAAGAGGCTGATATGTATAATTTTCCGGACCAACGATCTCGCTACAAACTGGTAACTGCATTGGTCCCGTGTAGGAATGCGTTGGCAGATTGACAACGCAACGGCGCGACGTGTTGCATAGCTATTGCTTTTAGACATGTCGTACGAATTGTTATCATAAATCCATGCTCGATCACAAAAAATCGCAAAAAACGCAAAATGGAAATAGCTACTCGATCAAGTTGATGTTGGCACAAGTTTTTGACCTTGTCTCGTCTATATGTATGTACACTTTAACGGAAGCATATTTAAAAATCTTTTTAAAAAAATCACAAACAAAAAAATGAAATAAAAAGAAAAAAAATTTTCATGTCTTTATTCTTGTTTCAAAATATTATAGTAATTATATAAAAAATAATAAAACATAAAAATAAAATATTACATAGATTAGAATTTTTTCTATGGTGTTAATTTACATAGAAAAAATAATTAACAAAGTAACGAACGATTGTAACATTTTGATATTGACATATGTCAAAGAGATCTATAATAAATTGTAAAAGACAGTTCTATGTATTGTACATATGTTGCTATATGTTGCACATTTTCTGCAATCGAGTAACCATGCGAGAGAAACGGCCACATAAAGACATAAAAGCAGCTCTTTTGCAATGGAAATTTTCGATGACGATACGAACGGTGTTGCCTCGGAAATGTTTCAAACGTTTCTGAAAAGAACGTTCGAGAAGAAGAATCTTTCTTTTTTGTGTCTTCGACCTGTCTGTACTATATGTACGTATTTATATCATGTAAAGGAAAGCGAGTAACAGTCTTTTCTCACCATTCTAAACGAGCGCATATCTTTCTCTTTTTACGAAAAATATTTCAAGAGTGAAACGCGTTCGAATATGATGATCACTTACCTCTATTTGAGAGTTTTTTGGTGTTTATAATTTTTGCAGCAAACTCGTGACCGGTGCTTTTTTGCACACATCGTCGAACCACGGAGAAGGCACCTCTGAAATTATAAGAATAAATATGTTATGTTGCAATATAATTGTTATTCGGAAAAATAATATAAATAAATGTCTAACGACATACATAGTGTAGACATATTAAAGCGTAATGTTATAAATAACAAACGAGTCCTCGCTAATTTATCGCATGTATCGAAACTGCTGTAAGTCTCACAATATACGAAGATATAAAATATCTGAAATCTGAATAGAAGTTTAAGACAGACAATTATGAGTTGTATTATCAGAACGTTAATATAACTGCAAAATATATATCTAATTAAGCTATACATATATCTACTTTGATAAAATGCATTTTGATAATTACTGAGAGAATATTAATTGAAATTCCTTGAAAATGCTTTGAACTTAACTCTTTTTACAGTAAAACTGATTTGGAATTAATATGAAAATTTAATACGTTGAGCAACAATCCATATTTATAATTGATTAAATTGATTAATTACCCGCTATTATTCGATAGTAATTATATATCCGTAAGACAAATATTTAATAATATTCAATAATATTATTGCGAGAAATATTTTAAAATGTATGAAACCACTGAATTACTGATTTAACTAATGTAAAATTCTTATCATAAAAAATTAGATTACGCTTATATTACTGCACATCGAAATCACATACTTAAAAGTATAAAGTGTCGCAAAATCTGTCTTTAATCTCGCATTACATCATGGCCATCAAATATTTGTTTAAATGTCTTTTGCCTCCATTGGACGAAAATATTTATAAATTTAATTTTATATTCAATACTTTTTCTTACGAATATAATAAAAATTATATTTTTATATTGAAAAATAAAAGATTAATGTGTAACAAATTTTTCGAAAGGATAAAACACTGAGATTTTTCAAACTCAAGTGTACGCGCGTGTTGCTGGATTTAATCCTTTAATTTTCAAATGATGACGTCACTGCCTAGTCAAATCGATTCTATGATTCGCTTTACACTTCGCCTTGCTAAAAATAAAATGATCACAGTTACATGCCGGTGACGTCAAAAGTATTCATTAACACGATTTTCAAAGTACATACAAAGAACCGAGTTAATGAAACAATTATAATCGCAATCCAAGATTGTAGGCGAGAGTAAAGTCCATCCTCAGAATCCCAGTCACATATAGAGACGTGGCAGGCTCTAGCTATCCAAGAACTAAACTTCGATTACTCCACATACATCCCCGCACTTTGCGCTGTTCTTCCTTCTATACATGAAAAACCGCGTACACGGCGCTGGGGAAACTTTGGTTTACTAAAGTTTCTCCGAGCGTTCTGTAGCAACATCGATTAAGGTGGCAGATTAGCGACCACAAATTGTCCATTGAGCGAACATTCGCCGAGAGACCTAAATTGTCGTTTCTTCGCAAACGACGGCTTCCGTTTATCGATACGAAATTAATGCAAAAATCTATTATTGTCGCGCATGGTCGCCCACGCGTTTTGTTGCCGTGAAAAAGAGATTTCGTTCGAACGAGATGGAAATTGCTCGAAGAGCATTATTCAACTGTCGTTTTAAAGCGGAAAGAGAATTCAGTTTTAAAAAATTAATGGAAAATATAAAAAATGTAATATATGAAATTTAATTAATTTTTTATTGTTAAATTAAGCAACATTGAAAATATGTATCTGCTTGAAAAGGACCTCGATAATCGAATTTATTGATTAAGAAAATATGTTTTTACAAATGAGTTAAAAAGAAATCAAGAGACGAAAACAAGTGAAGACAGCAAAGAAATAATTACAACTCATCGTGACGTCAACAAGCAATTGCCAGTTATTTGTTCTCTTTACAGATAAAGGCGGTAAGAAACTGTCAGCGGTACGTCTATAATTGGCTTCACATTGAATCGGTAAGACCGAACCTACGATTGACAATGAACAGCACGACCGCGATCCGTCGTCGCGAAGAAAAGTGCAGCAGCTGACAATATCAAGAAACTGTCGTCATAAATAATTAACGGTTACATTATTATTGTCACCTCTTTCTTAAGCACTTGAAATTGAGGTCAAATGAGCTCCAGTTTTCTATACCCAAATGAGTGCGCTGTTATATTACAGTTTCAATACGGAAGAAAGTCATAAGAGACTGCAAGAATTTCTTATGCTTCTTATCTAATAAAATTATACAAGTATAAACATTTTGGAGTAATTATGTATTAGGTGTTGGAATTAATTCGTAGCGTTTTACAAGTGATGGGAAGTACTTTCATTAATGTATTTTTTAATGCTCATGTGAAATAAATAACATTCTTTCATTAAAAAACGCTACGAATTAATTCCAACACCTAATAAATTGATAACTAAATGTCTTCAATATAATATTAATAAATAGATAATATAGTTAAAAAATAATACGTATCGAGAAAAGCACAAATATTTCGTCGCGACCAAAGATAATATATCAAATAAACGATAATAACGATTTTCACGTGGATCTCTTTTCGTAGCGAAAGTATTAACCTTGCTGCGGGATACGGAGACTCTCGAGGCCGATACTGGTCCTGCTGGCGTCGGCGCCGTGTTGCAGGCCAGCGAGGCGAGGCGACGCGATGTGACGCGACGCTTCGCGTCGCGACGCACGCCACGACGATCACGCCGCTCGGTCTGCCCGGAGGAAAAAGGGCGAGGTAGGTGCTTGGCTCGTTTCCATGACAACCAATCATTACCGGAGATTGTGCCACCAGCTACTGCGTGCACCAATCCTCGCCACGCTAACTCCCTGCCGCTTTTCCAACCCCTCATCGTAAAACGGGGTAGCTTTTCCGCTCACGTGCTCTTTACGAGATTATACCGCCGAAGCACGACGATTATTTAACGTCACGCTCCTGTTTCTTGCGCTGCTCATCCCTTTCACCTGTATATGTCGGTCACGATCACAGATTATATACATTTGAATATTACATAAAGCATCGCGGCTTCCATTAGTCGAATATTGCAGGCATCAATGAAATGGTGTAATACAAAACCGCTTAAAACTTTTAATAAAAACATAATATACTTTAATATTAACATGAATTTATTTTCTGTTATGAAATAAATAATTGTAATAGCGAGGAAAAAATCTTCATCATTATGCATACGGTAAAATTACGTACAAGTGATATACAAATGATTTCTAAAAAATATATTTAAAAATATCCTCGTTATTTTAATCAAGATCGTTTCTTTTATTTTAAACAACATCGATCGAGAATCGTCGATAAAATTAGAATTAATTTTACATTGGAGAAAATTTCACGAAAGATCATTATCTGTTGCAGCTTGTTAATATTCAATGCGCCAACCATATTTTATCGTGCTTGGCTAGTGATCGTCTTGGCGGAGAAGTTCGGGCGTGGTTGTAGTTTACTAAAACGAGCAACTGCGACGTGGTTCTCTCTGGCAGTAATGCGCGACATTAATGGTACATAATTGACAAAAGTTCACGAGGAATGCAATATATAGCGTCGCACCTTGTCGAGAGATGCAAAGCAATCATCGTACATTCTGTCCCGATCGCGCTACGAGGGAAAGTGACAATAAATAAAATGCCGGATAAAGAAATTCTCGGATGTAAACAGATGCAGTACCGGTGCGTAAAGAATATGTAAGCATCGAATGCAATGCGATATAAAATTGCGTCAAACGATTTCACTCCTGTGCTATGCAACGCAATGCAATTTTCATTTAACTATGAAATAAGGAAGCGGAAATTAAACTGCGAAGAATGGATTCATTATTCTGTAACAGCAGTCAGATCGAAAAACCTATTTAACTTCATTCGATTCATATTACCGTCGATGTAATTTTCCAAAACTGTTTATTCCATTCGCGAAATAATTTAAGATCTTGACAAACTCAAGGAAAGTACATCTTGTAATAATCGCATATATTGTTTTTATAAACAGTAGTCTTTATGTCTAAATATAACTATCACACATTAATGCGTAATTCGTGTTAAAAAATGTTCCGAATGATTCCACTAATGCTATTTCATATAGCAAAATCAATTTATAATGACTCTGTTCTTCGATACCAAGTGTGCGAATATTATTCTACGCTAAAAATAACGATGAAAGTTCTCTTCCCATCAGAAGCGAGCTGAGATTTAAATTTCTAAAATCGCACGACGAACATGTTACGATGGTCTCTGCATCTTCGTGGATTAACATATAAAGCTTTCTCTACAAAGATGGCGAGGAAACAAGAGCGAACGTAAGGTAAGAAATAAACTATGCAAGACGAGATACGAGAAATGCATCATTTATTTTTAATCCATTAGCCCTTTCTTTATTAAAGAAAAGATTTGAATTTTTCATGAACTTTACTCGTTTTAAGTACTTTGTCAAGAAATGAAAATCTTTGTGTAAAAAGAAAAGCAAAAAGATATGAGAATTTGTAAATCTTATAACATCTTGAAAACATTAAAAAATAAAATTAATTTGGGGAAAAAAGAAACATTTCATAATAAAAATAAGCATTAATTTTTACGATACACATTTAGCTAGCTCTCTCCATTATTTATTTTCCAATTCAAGATTAAGAATACATTCTCGTGTTTTGTCATGGATCTTTCTTGTTTGCATGATATTGCGCCGTAAAAAGTACCGTAAGATAAACAGGAAAAAATGTCAATGGAGGAAGGACACGTGAGCAAGATAAAAAGCTAACAGCAAGATAAAAAGGGGAGCCGTGCAAGAGTGGAATGGAAGATGGAGATGTTGCGGGAAAAAAGACCCGTGAGGAAAGTGAGGGATGCAAGAATAATGCAAGGGGACGAAAGACATCGACCTTGAAACGAGCCGATTCGCTCGCCGATGTGGAACTAGGGCGATCGACGATGAATCTTCAAAGAGAAGCATTTTGTCGCCAACAACGACGACGGCGCGACAGAGATGCGCTTTAAATACCCGCTCGTTCTTGCCGACACACGGCTCGCTTGCTCGCCACGCAAGCTTGTGGCATCTCTAAGGGTGCTTTTCTTCCTGTCCCTTTCCTTA